TAGACAGTATTTGGTCCTGCCATGAGGGCAGGGGACTGAACTCTATGACCTCTCGAGGTCCCTTCCAGCCCTAGAATCTATGAATCTTAGTCTCAGTATAAAAATGTTTATCTGTTCACACACACACACACACACACACACACACACACACGGCTGATTTCACATACTGCACAGAGTATGGTGGTAGTTAACACCTCAATGGGAGCAGGATTGGGACCAAAGTGAATGATAGATACACAGATATGGCAAATAAGGGCCTCAGTCCTGCAGTGAGATCCATGTCTGCAAATCCCTATGCCTGCAGGGAGCTTCATTTACTTCAACACAGCTCCATGGGAACACAGTGATCTGCCGGCATGGAGCTCAATACAAGATCAGGGTCATTTAGAGAAAGGCCCCTCTTTAATTTAAACGTTGTTTACTGAGGCATTAAAATAAAGCAAGGAAGGATTTTTTTCTCTTTCAGTAATAGCTGTGCACAACAGGTGTAATGTGTCATGAGGCTGGTTTCACCTTATTCTGAAACTTGTTAGTGGCTACTTCCAGAGGTAAGACACTGAACTAGATGAAACATTAGCTTGATCTGGAATGGAAACACCTATGTGGCTATAAAGCCTGCCTTTAAAACTATCAGGTCACAGCAAAACTTCAGCAGAACATCTAGCAACTGATCTTTTCTATGTTCAAATCATCAGTAAAACATTCAAACTCTTATTCTTTTCTGCCTCATTCCCTCACCCCCCAGATAATACCAGACAGTGAAAAAAACCAACTCACTATTTAACATTAAAAGTATATGCCATAATATCAAAATTATCCCAAAGCAGTGATCTTTAAAAAACAAACTAGTTACAGTCAAGTATTAAGGGGTTTGCCACAATAGTAAATTCACGCACACTCAAGGTTTTATGAAATGGTGACTAAGAACCTGTAATCCTACATATGTTATTCATTACATGGTTGGAGAACAGTATGTACTGGAAACTGGTGGCTAATACTAAAGAAACATGCACGTACATGAGCCAAAGGAGGC